ACAAAGAAATGAGATCAAGTAACTGGCTGGTCATCAGAAAGATGAAAAGTTGTGCACTGATTTAAATCCAGCCAGCCTCTTCAAGGGAAGTGTCCGTGATAAAGCGTTCTCTGGCCCAGGTATGTCAACAACGCTTCTCTATGGCCAGAAATATTTTAAACAAGGGCTGGGCCGCGTGGCTCACACCTGTAATTCTGTGAAAAATAAGGACACTGAACATCTGGCACAGACGCAGCAGTAGGAAGGGCACTGAGCTGGCAGTCATGCCCCCTGTGTAGCTCTGTGACCCCTCAGTTTCAGTATGCCACCTCTCAAGCCAGGGACACAATTGGGCTAACTGACCAAGGGCTGACCCAGCTGTGAACTCTGAGAGGCAGGGCTTAGCACCGACTGACAACATGATCTGCCAGCTGTAGCCAAGACAAGAGGCCAGCTGTAGTGGAGGTTCTGACCTCTGACTTCTAAGCTGTGTGACCTTGGGTAGGTTGCTTAACCACTCTGGAAGGTGACATAATCACTTTTGTTCCTGCACATTCACTTTTGACTGGCTCATGGGGTATTCAGATGATAGGAAGAATTAGAATGGTTCTTATGTTTGTTCAAATGCTGTGGCAGCATCTTAATCCCAGAGGACTTTGTGTAGGAGGTCATCCATCCTCCCCTGGTACACAGTCAGGAAGGCTTTACTCCACTCCCCAGCCTCCCACCTGGAGTAATTCTTCCCAGACCCGTTTTTCACCAAGAGCTTATCAAGAGAGATTCTGTCTCCAAAAATGTCCATGTAAACAGAGTGATCCTAATGGTCATTAAACCCTACCCAGGAGCCAGGCCAATATCTCATTTAATCCATAAACAGGGATACCATCTTCTTTCTACGGATGAGGCCATGGAGGCTCAGAGAGGTTGAGTGACTTGCCCAGGCCACGCAGCCAGTAAGTGGTGAAGTGGGCTGTGAACTAGGCACTGCCTGACATGAGAACCCAAGCCCTTGGCACAGGCTGCCTTTAAAACTCTATACGGAGCACCTTCAGGCAAGTATGCTCCTGATTCCTGGGCCAAGTGACTCATCATCCTCTTTGACTGAACATCAAATAACATTTCCTCCACATAGCCAGGGGGACTAACGTTGGCTTTAATTACAAGTCTCTCAGAGCTTCACTCCTTTATAATGAGTGCCACCACACTCTCCAAACTGCTGAATGCCATCACCCCAGTTGTGGACAAACAGGAAGAACTTCATCTGCCACCCACGATCACACACACTTCATCTTGCTGGGAACATGCTGGGCATTTCCCGTCACATCCCCAGCTATTTTGCTGGTTTAAGTAGCCAACGGCTGAAATTTGAGAGGAGTAAATTCAGCCTGACCTTGGGAGGAACTCACAAAGATTCAGAACCAAGGCACGACAGGGAGCTCTCAGGGGTCTGCGAGTGTCGTCAGTGACACTGGGCAGGCCAAGCCTGATGGTTCCTTGTGGGGATGTCTGGATCAGTCCTGCTCAGGGTGTGCCAGCCATACACTCAGGCCAGTTTCAGAGCTGTTTCCAGGACGCAAACCTGGAAACCCCTAGACACATGTGTAGTGCTGGTTAATTCTTTTATTTTTCCTATGTAATTTGTTCTTTGAATATTTATTGAAATTTTCCTGTTGAATCTAAAAAATGGTCGTTGTGTCATTTTCTTGTTAACTCATTATTTTACCAGAATTTAGGTCTATGACTAACGGAAAACAAAACAAAACTGGTCATTCACCGCAGGGAGTTTTGGAAATCCGATGTCAGATTCTAGCCACTGGGGAGTTGGATATCACCCCTTGGAGTCACTTTCAAGTCTAAAATCCCATAAATAACAGAAGCTGGGCAGGGAAATCAGAAAGCGAAAATGAGGAATGGCAAAGTTTCTGTGCCACATTTGACATGACACTAAAACTGATCGTGTATGTGTCCCTCCTGCCCCCATATGATCTGGCACAACACCATTCAGTTTTACAGAAGATGAAACTCAGCGTCGTAGCCTGGCTTGCCAGAATACACTGTTTCTTAGCAGCTCACACTTCCATCCACAGGCCAGGTCTCTGCCCTCCTAGTTCAACCCCTCACCCCAGTCCCTTATTTTTAAGGCATATAAAGGAAACCAGAGGCAGAATCAAGTCAAAGCTCTTTTATTACCACTCACATTATTTCATAGCAAAAGGAATGTAGCAAACGGGTCAGGGTTGTACATAAAAAAAAAATCCAGGTTTGTAGAGGTCATGTTATTTACATATGGGAGCAGGGCTGTCCTGGCTTCAGGCGCAGCAGCTGCACTTGTCCGATGCCCCTTTGCAGATGCAGCCCTGGGCACACTTGGCACAGCCCACAGGGCAGCAGGAGCAGCAGCCTGGGGACAGAGAGGAGGTAGCAGAGATGAGTACTAGGGACACAGGGAAGGATTCCTGCTCTCCCTAGTAAGAATCACTGAGGAGGCAACAGCTTCCATGCAATGGGGCATCCTCAGACTGCTTTACTTCCCCTGAGGATGATGTAGAGGGCTGGGGACAGGCTGGAGGACAGTGAGGGGGTAGAGGAAAGAGAGGATCCCACTTACTTTTCTTGCAGGAGGTGCATTTGCACTCTTTGCACTTGCAGGAGCCGGCGCAGGTGCAGGAGTCACCTGAAAGGAGAAAAGACAGAGGTGAGAACGGTCCCTGGATACCTGAAGGCGGGACGGCGTGCTAGGAGCCCGGGGCCGAGTTTCTCTGTCCACAACCAATTCCTGGTAACTTGGGCAAGCCATTAACTCAGATCTCCTTAACGGTAAAAAGGGGGCTCCGAATAACCTAGAATAGAGAAAAAGACACCCCAAAACGCTTTGGGAAGGAGCAATTCCTGCCCTGAAATTGAGTGATCAGAGAAAGAAAAAGGGGTCCGAAATTGCTTTTCTGGCGCTACAGGGCATCCCCTGCCCCTTACCGGCGGTGCAGGAGCAGTTGGGGTCCATGGCGAGCTGAAGAGGCGGCTGGAGTCGGGAGACGGCTGCACGAGAACTCGCTGGGACTTGAAGGAGGCGTGGTGGGGCTGAGCGCCGCGAGCTGTGTTTATAGTTGGAAAGAGCCGGGGCGAGTGCAAAATCCCCGCCCTGGCCTGCACCCGCCCAGGGCTGCTGAGTCACTCGCTGCTCCGCGTGAAACTGCGCTCAGGGGGCCGGGCGCACCGGCTCTGCACACGGGCCGCGGCCGGTCAGTTCCCGGAAGCCGGCCCACGTGCGCCCCGGGCTGGGTGCAGCGAGAAGACGTAGTGTTCCCGGTGCCGGGTGCCCACGCCGCGCGTCCAGCACCCTGCCCCTTGCCCTCCTCCTTGTGCACAGCTGCCCTCCCCCCTGTCCTGTACTTTTGAAGCTGAGCCGCTAGGGCGCAGGTGAAAGCGAGACTTGGGAATGCTGTTTGCACGGTAAACCGGTTCAAAGTGCACACAGGTTACAACTCTGTAGCAGTCAAGGCTTAATAATTAATTGTGCAGCATCATAGTAAACCCATGGGGTGGTTACTGGTGACACATCCGTTGCATGTTGAGTGCTTTAGCGTGCAACAGGGACTGTAGAAAGTGTGTCGTGTGTGAGATGTCACTTAATCTTGTAACAACCCGTAAGATAAGGACTCTCCAGTATTCTCACTGCAGAGAGGAGAAACAGCAGAGGCAGAGAAGTTACTTGTCCAGGGTCACACAACTAGCGAGTGGAAGAGTGCAGTGACTGCCACCAAGCCCCCGCAGATGCTGACGGCCGTCTAACATAGAGACACCAAGGAGGGAGGATAAGGGCGAGAAGCCACAAGCTTGGTCCCCAGGAAGCTCAGGGGCTGGGGGAACAGAGAGGAGGAGACCCTGTCCAGCCTGGGAGAAGGTGGGCCATTGCCTGGGGTCTGAGGGTAAGAAAGTGTTTGCCAGGCAGGGAGGGGAAGGATTTGTGTTCTAGCTTGAGGAGGAAGGAACGAGCAGGAGCTAGCTGGAAGGGCTCTGAGACATTTGGAAGGGGAAAACCCCACAGGAATGTTCTTTCCCTGCGGAGGCTGAGGGGGAGAGCCCAGGTGGCGTCCACATGCTTGTCTGGAGAGGCACATCCTGTTTCCCTGCCTGCATGCGTCTGGCGCTGTGCTACCATTTTAGGTCACCAGCCTCGGAGAAGTGTGTCATGCTAGGAGTCAGGAAGTGGTTACTGGAAGCTTCCTGGAAGGCTGAGGGAGTACAAGTTGCTGTCGTGGGAGTTTAGTGAGGTGGTGGGCGGGGGAGGACGGCCTGTCCTTGCAGCTCTTACTGTAAGCTCAGATGAACCATCACTTCCTCTGGGGACCCTGTCCTGGGCCCCATGCCCGTGGCTGCCTGTGGAAGGTGCTAGTAAACATCCTGTTCTTTCCCCTGCTGGCACTTTCCCGGCCTGTGGAATGTATGAACTGCAGTGACTCTTGGATTGGTGTCTCTGCTCTTCCTCACCAACCCATGATCACTGGAAATTCCAAGGGCAGTCATTGCCCCCCTGTTCTGGAATTGTGTCTTCATCTCCCAGCACAGGGCCACGTTTGCAGTCGACACTTAATAAATATTTGTTAAATGAATTAATGGGGGTAATGCCCTGGACTGTTCCTCGCTTCCCAGCCCCCACCTTGTATGAAGGCCGATTACAAAATGAAAACAAACAACTCTTCGCCACCCTGGAACCTGTGTGCCCACTTAAGTAAAAATACCAAACAGGGCAGGAGGGGTGAGCTCTCAGATGCGCTAAATTCCAGTGATCACTCAGCCACTCACTTGCTCAGTGACCGTGGGGGCAATTACATGCCTGGACTCTTCTGAACCCTGGTTTACACATCTATCAAATGACTGGGTTGTGCTAGAATTTATATCCAAATATCCTCTGATTTTAAAGCCAACCTCTTTGAAATCTCATGGTGTCTGGCGGCCCCGTGGATGAGAGCTCTCTGGGCAGTGGACTGATTTTTTTTTTGTTATTTATGTATACACACAATATATACCAAATCTCTGTTTGCTAATAACTCAGATGGTCACCTATCCACTCAAGGCAAACAATCCAATTCTGTGAAGAAACAGAAGGGCTAATTTTGCCCTCAAAAGCATTGGTTCTAGCCCTGGGTTTGTGCCAGCCATATTGGCGGTAAAACTTGCTCTGGGCCTGAGCTGTCTCCTTTGAATCACTTTGACTGTATGAGGGGAGGGAGGGATAATGATGCAGGGAAGGTGGAGCAGGCCACAGGCCTAGTCTGTTCATCTCCATGCCCCCAGAAGCCTCACAGGTGTGGGCCACCATGCCCAGCCTATTTTACTTATTTTTGAGGCAGAGGTTCGCTCTGTTGCCCAGGCTGGAGTGCAGTGACACAATCTTGGCTCACTGCAACCTGCGTCTCCCGGGTTCAAGTGATTCTCCTGCCTCAGCATCCTGAGTATTTGGGATTACATGCGCCACCACCACACCTGGCTAATTTTTCTATTTTTAGTAGAGATGGGATTTTACCATGTTGGCCAGGCTGGTCTTGAACTCCTGACCTCAGGTGATCCACTCACCCCGGCGTCCCAAAGTGCTAGGATTACAGGTGTGAGCCACTGCACTGTGCTTGGGACAGAGGGAGGAGAAGAGGGAGGACCCACTTGCACATTTGCATCTTTGACTTGGCAGGGGATGAGGGAGTAAAACCAAGCAACATTGGATAAGGAAAAACATCCCCTGAATATCTGGTGTGAGTCATCAATGTGAGATGACGATGTGGCCCTGGGTTGCATTAAGAGAAGTAGCCCATGTAGAATGAGAGAGGTTATGTTTTTCATTCTCCTTTTAACTGCAGAGGTGGATATGCATGGGTCTGCTGCCCAGCCATCCACTCATCCTTCCCCTGTGATGATATCCTTGGTTTTTCTTTGAAGAATCGCCTCTCTTTATTCCCAGTCCATGTGGTTTTGATGGAGTAGGTCCCATCTGTGAACTCCTAGGCCATTCCACCTACTTAGTCACAGTGATTGCCTCTGATTGGGGCACACAGTCATAAACCAAAGAGAATCAGGGATACTTTTGCTGGGAATGTTGGGAGAATGGCAGATACTCTTTCCATCTGGACTTGAACCTGAGAGGATGTGAAGCTGATTGAGTTTCTAAAGCTTTTTGGCTCTGTGAGAAGGCTCAAAAATAAAATAATCACAAAGGAAATGGAGCCTGACAATATCTTGGAACACCTGGATCCAGCCATGCCTGAAGCCATCATTTCCTTTTAGCTTAAATTATTCTAGATGGAGTCCTAACTGGCGCAGTTGAGCAGACCCCCCTGCCCTGAGGGCTATGTTCATTGTTGGGCTCAGTTGTCCAGAAGACAGCTGTTCACGGGAGTCCTAAGGCCCAAAACCCTATCATGTGAGCATCAGCTGAGAGAGGTAGTTTCAATATGGAAGGGAACAGTTACCTTCAAATATTTGACAATGGTTTCCCCAGTTATCTACAGCTATGCAACAAATCACTCACAATTTAGCAGCTTCAAACAACCACCATTTTATTGTCTTTCCTGGGTTTGTGGGTCAGGGGTTGGAGCAGCGCTCATTTGGACAATTCTTTTGTTTCATGTGACATTAGCTGAAGTCACTTGGTGCTGCTCAGTTGGTGGATGGGCTGGTCTGGAGAATCTAAGATGGCTTCATCCCCACGTTTGGCACTTGGGTAGGGATGGCTGGAGGCTGGGTTCAGCTGGAACTGTTGACCAGAGCTCCACATGTGGCTTCTTCAGCATGGTTGGCCTCAGGGCAGTTAGGCTCAGGTCACAAAGGTGAGCGTCACAAGAGATGACAGGGGTAGCTGCAAGTCTTTTAAGCCCTGGACCCTGAAACTAGCACAGGTCACTTGAACCACGTTCTATTGGCCAAACAGTGGCAGAACCTGCCCGATTCAAAAGGAGGGAACCAAGACCCCCTGTCTTGAAGGGAGGAGTGAACGAATTTCAGGCATGTCTAATCCGCTGTAGTAGGCATGGAGAATAACATTGAGCACTTGCTCTGAGTCAAGACTTGTACTAAGAACACTATGAGTTTATCTTACTTAAAGCCTAACACCGCCCTACGAGGCAGATGCTCTTATTTTCTCCATTTTACAGATGATGCAGTGAAGAGTTATGGGATCTGTTCACGGTAACACAGCTTTTAAGTGGCAGAGCTGGGATTTGAACCCATACCTACATAAGCTGTCATGCTGAAAAGAGGAAATTAGTCTTGCTTTCTGTGGCCCTAAGGGCAGAATCAGGACAATCACAGAGGGTGGGGTAAGTTTACAGGAATAAAGGTTGTGTTTCAGGTAGAAGGGTTTTTCCCCTCCTCCCCTCTCCTCCCCTCTCCTCTCCTCCCCTCCCCTCCTCTCCCCTTTCCTCCCATCTCCTTCCTTTCCTTTCTTTTTTTTAAAGACAGGGACTCAGCTCTGTTGCCCAGGCTGGAGTACAGTGGTATGATCATGGCTCACTGCAGCCTTGACCTCCTGGGCTTAAGGGATCCTCCCACTTCAGCCCTCCTGAGTAGCTGGGACTATAGGTGTGTGTCACCACACTTGGCTAATTTTTGTGTGTTTTTTTGCAGAGATGGGGTCTCACTATGCTGCCCAGGCTGGCCTCGAACTCCTAGACTCAAGCAATTATCCCGCTTCAGCCTCCCAAAGTGTTGGAATTATAGGTGTGAGCCACTGCTCCCAGCCAAAAAGGGCTTTCTTGCAAGTAGAGTTGGTTATGAGTGGAAGGGACAGCTTGGGAGATAGTTCCCTGTTATCACAGCCAAGGCCAGCAGATTCTAGCATTAAATAGGAGGACAGGAAGAGGTTAGTTTCCTTCTTCCCCAGGAGATTCTGTGACTCAGTGGCTCCCATCACACATACCATCAATCTGCTCTTTGTTCTTCCTTCTATAGCCCCTGCTGTCATTTTGGAGGTGTATTAGTTATCTTGCTGCATTACAATTTACTTAGCAGCTTAAGACAACACACATGCACTATTTCATAGTTTCTGTGGGCAGGAAGCAGACAAGGGTTATCTAGGCCCTCTGGCTCAGGATGCCTCATAGCAATCTAGGTGGCAGCCAGGGCTGCGGTCATCTCAAGTGTCAGCAGGGACAGGATCTGCTTC